TGAAAATATTAACTTTCTCAAAGTATAAAATTTATTTTTCTAACATTCACCCTCATGCCATAATGCCAGCCAAGCTGGTATCTATATGCTATTACATTCAACAAATAGTTCTTTTTTCTTTTTCCTAGTGCTCCAAGTACTACTTTTTTTTTAATGGCTTCACTGAGACAACATTCACACACCACACGTACTTTGTCAATTTAAAATGTACAATTCTGTACATTCAGAATTGTGCAACCATCACCACGATCTAATTTTCAAACACTTTTATCATCCCTGAAAGAGACCATGTACCGTTAGCAATCACTCACCATCCTACATCACATCGTGGATTTTTTCCCAATAAATATACAGTTGGACCTCCATATTGTCAGGTTTTACTTCTGTGGATTTAACCAACCTTGGATGGAAATTTCTATCTGTGGTTGGGTGAATCCTCAGATTCAGAATCTGAAGATATGGAGGGCCGATTGTACTATACCACTTTATATAAGGGACATGAGCAGCCTTGGATTTTGGTATATGCAGGGGCTCCTAGAATCAATCCCCCTCAGATACTAAGGGACAATTGTATACTACGTTTTTTCCTATACATGCATACTTATGATAAAGTTTAGTTCATGAATTATGTACAGTAAGAGAATATCCAAATTGCTAGCACCACTACTCTTATGCTTTGGGGTCATTAAGTAAAATAAGGGTTACTTGAACACAAGCACTGCAATACTGCAACAGTCATCTGATAACCCAGATGGCTACTATGTGACTAATGGTCGGGATATGCTGGACAAAGGGATGATTCATGTCCCAGGCAGGACAGAACTGGATGTCGAGAGATTTCATCACACTACTTAGAATGGTGTGAAATTTCAAACTATGAATTGTTTATTTCTGGAATTCTCCATTTAATAATTTTGGACCGCTGTTGACCGTAGGTAAATGAAATCTCAGAAAGCAAAATCGTGGCTAAGGGTGGGGGTGGGGGGGTTGAGTGTACTTGCTTTTAGCAAGTTGATGATAAACTCTTAGTTACTGTTTATACTTCTGCTGATTTTTCTGATTTGGCTCCTTACCCTTTGGCCAGGGTCTTTTTGGCTTGTGCCTTTGCATTTACATTTGGAATGAGATGGGAAAGCTGGTCCTATGAAAAGTTTCAAAAATTCTTTGATGATCATGGGGCAATAAATTTTGGTTCCTTATGATTCCACCTAGAATAAAAGTTAGATTCCTCTCATCTCAACTAGTTGCTAAGATAATTGTTAGAAATTAGGGAAACAATGGTTACATGACATGTGACAGTCATAATTAAAAGCCACATTTATATTTAAAAAGCAACTATAACTCACTTCTTATTTTTGCTTCATTGTCTATATTCAGGTTCTGCTTTATATGACCAAAGCTGTTTTAGAGGTTTATTCGTGTTGGGACTTCCCTGGTGGCGCAGTGGTTAAGAACCTGCCTGCCAATGCAGGGGACACGGGTTCAAGCCCTGGTCTGGGAAGATCCCACATGCTGCGGAGCAACTAAGCCTGTGCACCGCACCTACTGAGCCCGCGAGCCACAACTACTGAAGCCCACGCACCTAGAGCCCGTGCTCCACAACAAGAGAAGCCACCGCAAGGAGAAGCTCACACACCACAACGAAGAGTAGCCCCCGCTCACCACAACTAAAGAAAGCCCGCGAGCAGCAACGAAGACCCAACGCAGCCAAAGATAAATAAAAATAAATAAATCTATAAAAATAAAGTGTTGAAAGATTCTTCTTTAACAATTCTCTCATGTCTCTTTAGTCATTGAATTAAACTTTATGAAACCCTGATATAAAGACACCAAAACTCAGCCAAGTCAACTGAACTTCACTAGCTTTCCTAGACAACTTTATCACTCTCTGTAGTGAGCATTCTCTCTCCCCACGGAGAACTTGAGTATAATTTTTTTGTTTTATTTTCCCTTAAGCAGTCAGGGAATTTTCTCATTCTCTAGAAGCTGGCTGAAGGCTTCAGGTTTCTCCTGAGATGTTCAGACAAACATGGCTGTACTAAAGTACTAATACTAATGTTTTTGTAACTTGCTATTTGCTTTCTATGTTGTTACTCAATTGACTAGTGAACTATACAGTATAATGAGAATAAATATTTTCTCAATAAACTCAAAAATCTCTAGGTAGACTGAAAGTACTCTATGTACTACAGTGAGAAGAAAAACATATCCTTATTTTTACACAGTTATTCAAACTCTGCTACTATAGTTCTCTCAATCTTGCTGTAGAAAGTATACATCCAGGAATCCACTGCGGCATTAAGACCCTTTCATTTTCCTGTTCCATCTTTTACAAACAAGTTTTCTAAAGCATTAGTCAAGGACACAGAATTTTATGTGGTTGTTGGCAGAGACACTTAACAAGTAAAATTTCTGGGGAAGAAAAAGGGAACATACTGTATTTGCCCAGTTAATGACCAAATTAAAATAGAATGATAATGAGAATATGGTTTCAAATGTTCTCTCACTTATACGTAGTATTTTGAGCAATGGGAATGACCAATAAAACATGAGTTATCACCAAAGAACATAGTGTAGTACTTACTTTTAAGGTTGCTATTGTTTTCTTTAATCACCTTTCAGGTCAGTGGCAGGAGGAGTGATTCACAGTTATCAACACTACTACTGAATCAGTGTTACCCACCCTCTGCACTTAGCTCCGAGGAAAGGCAGCAAAATTCAAGTTCATAAACCCATTTGGAAAATGCTGTGATTTGCAAAGTCTCATACCCACAAATATTATAATAAGGACTGTCAATGGCAGATTCCAAATGGAATTTTCCTTGTATTTCTAGGAAGCGGATGCCTCAAGAAATTCAGTTTTACTCAGTGAAACCTTCATGCAAGAGGAAAACAGTCAATGACCTGTAAAGTTCAACAGAATTCATATGTCCATTACGAGTTCAACTTGTCCTTTCACTGCATAATCACCTCCATGATTGGCAAATACTGTTAAACATGACCTGTTTTCTCAAAGAAATATCAATTTTCTGGCCTCTGATTAAAGGAGAATACTGCTAGGGCAACCTCAGTACTACATACATTCAACACATTTTTGTGGAATTAACAGGAATACTATATAAATCAAATAATATGTGTATAAAAATGACAAAACACAGATGAACAAAATTCAAGTTCTTAATAAACATAATCCCCATTGCCACTCTGGCCCCAACTGAGGTTTCCAAGGAGCAATTAGAAAGAATTATTTTTCTTAGAACAAGTCATGACAAGGATAGAATTAAGTCAACTATAATGCTCATTTTTTTCAAGAAATTGAGAATATTCAACTAGCAGGAAAATCTTAAAAGATACTAATTTTTTTGGTAGAGAGAAGTACTTTGGAATTTTAAACTTCATAATATGGGAAGACAGATCATAACATCTCTCTCACACCCACACTAAATAAATAAATAAAAGCGATGAAAAATAACACCAGTCAGGCTGTGGCTGCACACAGCTATCTCTGTTTATCAGCGTCTGATATCTGGACTGGGTGCTGTTCCCACAGTCTCATATCAGCACAGCCATTTAGAAATGAAACAAATGACAGCAGGAAACAAGCAAAACAATTCTCCGGCTGTCTGGTACACATCACCACCTCAAACTTAGAATATAAAAATTCTCTCCTAAAGTTTCTAAATATCAACTCATTAACTTGTCCCCAGACAAACAAACAGGGAGGTCCTTATTAGAACTGGATGAACTACCTCTGTGGTCCGTGACATGAAAGTTTTTAGCATCCTCATCTAAGCTATGTTCCAAAACACAAGAGGTGTCACAGACAGTGGCACAGCCCTAAAGGAACTCATAACGAGTTCCCCCTCCTATTATGTAATGCTCATCTCTGTGCTGTGTTCTATTCCATCATCAACCCCTGAGGCCAGGTGGTAATAAGCTCTTCATCTTTAAAGAGGAGGGAACAAATGCAACATGTTACTGCTATTCTCTGCTGACCATGACTGACGAATTGGAGCAGCATACTGACCCAAGCAGAGACAATTAGATTCCCTCTCCCAGGATCTGAGAATTAGGACTCTGATCAGTCAGCAAAAGGCATGACACTCCCAAGGACATGTTAAGGGTTGGGAGGGAAAGGGGGTGGGGGAGGGGTCAGGGTTGCTATTTCAGTCAGCAAATAGGGAAAACGGGCCTACGGAAAGCAGCGGCAGAAAAAAACTGAAGCAAAACGAAGCAGGTAACAGAAACTAAATGCCCCAGAAAGAGAGGCTTTTTTTTTTTCCTAATTTTAAGAATTATCATTCCTTATGTATGTATGTATGTATGTATGGCTGTGCTGGGTCTTCATTGCTGCGCACGGGCTTTCTCTAGTTGCGGCGAGCGGGGGCCACTGTTCCTTGTGGGGCACGGGCTTCTCATTGCAGTGGCTTATCTTGTTACGGAGCACAGGCTCTAGGAGCATGGGCTCAGTAGTTGTAGCGCGTGGGCTTAGTTGCTTGCTCCATGGCATGTGGGATCTTCCCGGACCAGGGCTCGAACCCGTGGCCCCTGCATTGGCAGGCAGATTCTTGACCACTGGACTACCAGGGAAGTCCCAGTATAGGCTATTTTGAATGAATCCAATGGCTTTTCCATTTCAGGTTCTCATTCTCTGAAATCTAGGTGTACATCTTCCCCTCGAGTTCTGTGAGAAACCTTTGCACACTTCTTATAAAATCCCTCCTTTTGTTTCTCTGTAATTAGTTTGAGTGGTTTTCTTGACTAATAAGATTTCTAATTATTAACAATCATTGATTTAGGGTTGACTTTCTTCAACTACTTGTTAATAATCATCAAAATTTTTTTCTCTTGATTTGAGATGTCAATCCTTTATTTACCTATCATAGGTTTCTCAGGGAACAAGATCACAGCCAGATCTTGGGAACAGAGGGGTATTGTTATTTTTAAATTTAGCAATGAAAGGAAAATTTTTTTATTGACAAAGTAAGGTAACTACTTACATAATCTGGTAGAGGAACATCACTGGAACTCAGCGAACCTCTCAAGGACTGTGTGGCTTGTTCCAGAACTTTGTTGTGTTTTTTAGACAGCAAGGAAAACAAGCTGAAAAAAACAAAACAAAACCCCAATTATATTAAAAGAACTAAGTGTCTCCTTTTCTAGGTTTTGTATTGACATTCCACAGAATGTCGATTATTCTAAAAGATTCTTTTTTTCATGCCTGTGTTAACAGCAGGATTAACAATACTATTGATATAACAAATAATAAAGTGAAAAGAATGTTTAAATTATAAGGGTTCTAAAATAAAAGTTTGCCAGTTTCAAATTACATTTCAAACAGAGGAGGAATTTTCAGAAGATTACTATCATGGACAGGACAGTAGACAGATATTAAGAAAACCTGAGATATGGACTGACTTTATGAGTAACTCATAGTGCAATCTGTTACAAGTTACTTGAGCTTGCTGTATCCCAATTTTCTCATCGTTTTTTTTGTATCTTACTGCATGGGTTTATTTATTTTATTTTATTTTTTTTAACATCTTTATTGGAGTATCTCATCTTTCAAATAAGTACACTGGATTATTTCTCTAGCATAATACAGAGTCTATGATTCTATATTATAGCTTTATATTCTTATTCTCAAAAAGAATGGCTTTAAACATATGTATTATAAGAGTTTTACTTTACTGGTACTGAATAACTCCCCTGTGTAAACAACTAAAAAAAACTGAACAAAATATATAAAATAACTGTTTTCAGATGCTGAACATCTGAAACGTTCAAAACCTGCCCCAGTGTCTTCTTGAGCATTTGGCTAAATGCAAAGAAAAGACCCCACAAGGTGTGGCAGTAAACCACCATCCAGGAGCCACAAACTGAACAGAGATTTTAGAGATCACAAAAGGCTGGAGGTATGCTGAAGCTCCAACCAGCCAGAGTGGACAAAACTCACTGAACATGAACACTCAGTTGAATTCTCAGAAAGGCCATGCTTCAGGAGTAGGGCTATTCTAGCCCAGAGTAAAGATGATTCTAAGATGCATCCCAACAGACCTAAATGAGCAATTTTCAAAGTATAAAACAAATTTACATTAAATGTAAATGGATTAAACACTCTCGTTAAATGACAGAGATTGTCAGACTGCATAAAAAAGCAAAACCCAGTAACATGCTATTTATAAGAGGCACGCTTGTAAATTTAAAGATACAGATAAGTGAACAGTAAAATGATACAAGAGAGATATTGTATAAACACTAATCATAAGAAAGCTGGAGCGGCTATATTAATATTAGACAAAGTAGGCTTAAGGATAAGAATATTATTACCCGAGATAAAGAGAGAAATTTTATAGTGATGAAATGGCAAATTTATCAAGAAGCTATAACAATCCTAAATGTGTATGTACCTAGTAATAGAGCTTCAAATACACATAATTATATGATCCTAATGTTAAAGCTACTATATCTAGTGAATAAAGAATTCTTCCTTGGGCTAGATGACAAGTTAAAAATACAGACAATTCTGATTCCATGTACTTTTCCATATAAATATGACCTGTAGTATCTTCTTTAATGCCCAAAACATTACTCTAGTATTTCTTAGTGGTATCTTTCTAAACAGAATATTGATTTGAATATCAATTTATGAAAATCTCTACTTATTTCAAATGGTTTAAATGGGATAATTACTGAAAACAAGACTACTAAGTATTCTTTCTAGATTAAGTTTTAACATTAAAATGTTAAAAAAGTGAATGAAAAAAATTCCTTAACACTTCTTGGTAATGCTGGATGTGTACAAAGCAAATGTAACAAAGCCAAGAATATTCTCTAAACCTATACTCAAATACAGCAGGTGAAGTAATTACTAAGTGAATAAGTGTGAAATCATATGATACTGATCAAGCATATGTTGATAAGAGAGACTTCTTTGAAATGGAATAGTGCAGCAAAGTTTCATGAAGGGGTTAGCCTTTATGAAGAAGGAAAAAGATTTGTGCAAGAGAAGAGAGAAGGCATTTCCAAACAGAAGGCAAAGCACAGAGGCAAAACAGGGGACAGTGAGAAGAGTGAAGTGGAAGTGATGTAAAGAAGTAGGGAAAAAGACTCAATCTGTAAGGGTATGTACATTCTTTTCAATCATTTTACTTTTCTGGGTCTTCTCTATTTGAGGTTTAGTTTTGCTTGTGTTTTTCTTTTTTAAGGTTAAAAGTAAACATCACACTTTTTCCTCACATCCATACCCATGACCCACTGGTAACAAATGTTAGCAGTTTATTGTCTATGATTGCAACAATATTATATGCATCAAGGCATGTATATGAATGAATACTGTACATATACATCCATGTTTTCTTCCCACAAAATAGGAACTGCTCTGTACCTTGCACTTTTTCCACTTAACAATATAATCCTTGATTCGTTCAATAAACATGTATTGAGTGCCATTTAACTGATATCCAAGCATATGGATATACCTTAATTTACCTAGTCCATTAGAAATGAATCATTGCAATGTTTCCAGTTTTTTGTATTATAAATAGCACTGCAATGAACATGCTTGTACATAATTTTTAGTATACCTGAGGCGAGACTGACTATAGATAAAGTAAAACTGCTGAGTAAAAGAATAACTGAACATAGTACTAAACTGCAATGGGGGCATATATTCTTAAATATGCAAATTATTGTGCAGGCAATGAAAATTAAAAGATAAAAATATGCTGGGATAGTGCATAAAGCATATTCACATGGAAATGCATAAAAGAGGGCAATTAGTAAGATTCTTTTAATTGGTTGTAGTGTATTTTCTGGAATAAATGGAGTTTCATAAGTTTTTTGAGACTGAATGGACTTTGGTGGTTGATTTTAGTATAGGGCATGGCAAGACTCAGAGGCATCAATTGGATGCCCAAACAAAAAGCAAAAGGAATAAATATACCTGGAAGAAGTGAGCTTTTTGGTGTTGGTAAGAGGAAAGGGGACAAGTGAAGTACAGCAGTGCACTTTAAGTTTACAAAATACCAGAACTCAGGAGCTGTTTTATGGGTTCAATAAACCTGGGATTTTCTCTGTCAGTGTTCTAAGAGTGTACCCTTCAGAGAAGGACAACAGAGGTAATCTATGGTAACTTTTATCATCACTTTCAGAAATTTATGGAACGAGTCCTAGGAATCAAAGCAAAAAGGATTTGATATTGTTTCCTTTGGAGAAGAAAGGCTAGTTTGTTTATTTTAAAAGAGAACACTAACAATCCTTTTTCCTTGTTGGTAGAAGACACAACAAGGAAGAGAGCTGCAATTCAAACATAAGCTCTTTCAGTTGGACATAACAGAAAATTTGACTGTTATGGGCATAAAATGTTGACATGGTCCACCTCAAGAAGCCGTGGCTACTGCTCCCAGCTGTTTTTAAGAAAGCTGGTGTAAGAACAGATGATTTGAGGTCGCTCCCAGTTTTCTATCATGAATTAGAAACAGAATTCACACTTACTCAAGCTGTTTTTCTTCTATGATCTAATAGGCTTTTTTCCTCAGGTCTGCTAGCTAGAGCTCTCAAAGTTTTTTTTTTTTGTTTTTTTTTTTAATTTTTAAAAAACATTCTAATTTTGTCTCCTGTCTAGCATTTGTAGGGCAAAATGACCTAAATTTATATGAGACATGACTTTCAAATTGCTGAGAAAAGTAACTTTTGCTTAAAGCTTTTGCATTCAAAGTACCAGCCCCAGCTAAATGCTAGAGTGAGTGACACACATGATGTTTGTATGGAAGGGGTAATTCCGATTCTGGAAATAAGTGAAACTGATTCCAAGTGTATTGATCTTCACTCAGGATATAGCTGCCAGAATACTTTTCTAATTTAAATTAGAAAAAGACTAGATTTTCCTTTTTGTACAAGAATGTTCATTGTAAATTGGTTTAACAGTGAAAATTTAAAAACAACAAAAACTCTCAGGAATGGAATGGGTAAATAAACTGTGGAAGAGTCATACAATGGCATACTATGTAGCAATTTAAGGTTATCTAAAACTACGTGTAACAATTAGGGATAATCCTCAAAAACAATGTTGTTCTACAAGCAAGGACCCTGGTAGAGAATGTGAATGAGGTATTATTTATATAGTGTTTTTAACATGCAAAACATTACATATCTTCTGCAGATAAAACATTTGAAGTAATAAAACATATATGGAAATGATAAACACTACATTTAGGATAGTCATTATTCTCTGAGAAAGAAGAGAGGAAATAGGATCAGGGAGGAAGAAATAAAAGGTTCAGCTCTCTCTCCCTCTCAAATGTTCTTTCAGTAATACTGGATATATACATAGGTGACTGCTATATTACTGGGTTTTTTTGGTGTATACCTGAAATATTACACATTTTAAAAACTGGAATAAAAAGAACACACTATCCTGAAGAAAACAGAGCCCCGGCCAAAAGCCAGCATTTCACAAAAGAAAGAAGCATATAAATATGCATGATGAGTCCAACCTGGAATGTGCTCAGAAAACCACTGGCTGCTGCAAAGGGCTGTCCTTTAGGGCGCCCAGCTGGTGGCAGGAGATGAGGACAGTTTAAAGACAGACTGTGAAGGACCGCTTGTGGCACATCAAAAGTCCTGGACCTTTCTGTATGGAGTAAGAAGCTAATGTTACAGTCTTACAAAGTGAGTTAAAGAGACATGATTCCTTGCCCCCAAGGAAATCAAGTCTAATGGAATAAGGGGAAAAAAATGTCTACAATACTGAAATCAGAGAACTCCATGGGTCTGAAGAGAGTGCCATGGGAGTACAGCTGAAGGTTAGGTACGTTTCACAGAGGAAATCTACCTTGATGGTGGCCTTGAAGGTTAGGGGGTTTGCTTGTTGGGAAAAGTAAAGGGGGAGGGAGAGCCACTCTGAAAGGGGGAAAAGTGTATAGAAAGGCACAGAGAGACTTCAGGGAAGTACCAATAGCTTAAAGGCCAGAAAAGTGCAAGTCCACCGGGGCAGAGGGTTCGAGATGGCGAGAGATGAAGCTAGCAAGGTCAGCATGGGCCTGTTAAAGACCATGCAAGAGGTCTGCACTAAGTCACTGAGACAGACAGTAACTCCAACA